CAGGGCAACAACAAACGTCGGTGGGGATGGTGAAGTAGTGACTAGATCAATTCATCTCCTTGCATTCTGAATTTCATCAGTTACGTTGAGCGGATTCTCGGCATAGATGAGGGAGAGGTGGTGGAAGTTGGCGACTCCGCCGGTTATGATTTGATGAGACTCATGAACTCGCGGGTCTCGGAGGCTAGGACTAAAGTGCGATTTGCTGCGATGAGTTCGGGCGGTTGAGTAATTGTGAGGTTTCCTCAGGTGGTCAGGAACGATGTTAATGCGCTGTTGAAGCGAAAGCTGGGCTTGAGCACAGGTGACTTGCAAGCTGGAGGGCGTCTGACCTCCCGGAGACGCGAGCCTCTTATGTGGTTAACGTTGGAACCACACTTTCAAATTGACTCGTCATCTGCTTTGGTCATATTGGAGGCCGTTAAAAGCATGGTTGCAGGGATAGTGGAGGAAGCCGTCCAAAACCTTTGGGGTGTCCATTACAGTGCTCAGGGAGTTCGGGAAAAAATCTATTTGGAATTCCACCAAGGATGTGGAACAAGTTGAAAAACTCAAGGCCTGAAGGAGATGACGTGTCACGAGCAGTCGATTACATCGACTCAATCTACATGAAGTTGGACGGGCCGTTTCTTCCAGCGGAGTGGTGTTCGATTCCTTCAAATGACGCCTATGCTCGAAGGACGACTAACCCGTTGAAAGTGTTACACAGGTAGTGATTACGGTTGAATCAGTGAGCCTGTGACACTCTCTGATTTTACAGGGTTCTCTCACTGTCAGATATCTAAATGAAGTCGTATCGAAAAGGAAACCCAAAATTGTGCTCTTTATCAAGGCATTGAAGAACGTGCTGATCCGGTCAAATACGGAACTTAATTCGATCGACCTGGGGGAAACGGAGCTGGTTTCAGCAAGCAATGAGAGAAAGCGTTTCATCTTCCATCAGTCTTGGAAGGCTGGGCACCTACCTGATGAAGATCTCTTAGACAAGATGTCGGAGTTATGCGGAGTGAAGGAGAAGCATTAAGTTTATGTATGTTGAACGTACAGTGTAAATACAGTTTCTGGGCATGATACTGCAGCGCAATCATGATTTCTCATCTTTACCTCTCGAGCCATAGTTGTTGCGTGAACACAGTACGTGTAGAACATCTATGTAACGTAGTATCAACAGAAGCATACCGGAACACGCGCAGCAGGGGAACTCCATAGCAGATGTGAGAGCTGCGGAAGTACGGACATCGTGAAAGAATCGCCCGAATGATTGTGGATGAAACCTCACCCAGTGAGGAATTCATACTTCCCGTAGCGGAAGAACGCTTCCAGAATGTAGTACTTTCCGGTAAGTTAATCTCTCTTACCCGCCGATGTTTTAGAAAATATGCGAGAAAAAAGTTAGAAATGAGCAGAAAAGTGGCAGAGGGGCGTATGCCATAATGTATTTCTGCCGAGAAGAAAATTGAAGAAGAGCAAGTTCTAAAAACATGCTGAAATGCATTTCTGGCTAAGAGAAAAGAGCGTTTCAGCAGAAGTGCGGTTTTGCATAATTTCAGAGCGCTTATGTAAATCAGAGTGCTATTATGTGTGATAGCAGCGCGATTTTGTAATTGGCTTGAGCTGTTTTGTCGTTTAGAAAACAGCGGACACATAAGAGCATGTGCGGTTCTTACGGGCCAAAATAGAAAATAGCACTCCGCTGTTGTGCTGTTGTGCTGTTTTGTATTGTACCGATATCAACTTGCTCTGCACGCACGCACACATATCTTACGGGTATGAGTCTCTATCGTCTGCGTGCGGGGACGCACGCTTCATAATTGCGTGCTGGGGGACACTCCCTCAGTCCGATCAGGTTTTACTCACGCGACACAAAGTTTGCTATCACCAAAAATTTGCTCCATTGCGGGTTGCCCATTCGTAAAGCGGCGAATTGCTCCTCTGAAAAGTAGCAATTTGCTCAATAGTAGAAAAAGCAATTTATTGGTTTGCCCCTTTTTTGAGCAATATTGCTCAATTTTGTTACATAGTAGCACTCCACATAGCGGCAACTTTTATATATTCTAGCAATTTTATGAAATATAAACAAGCAAACGATATTCATTCGAGCAGCTTCTGTTATATAAAACGGCAAATTTGCGTATTTGTAAAGTGAATTTTGCTACTTTGCTCTTCTGTATATCAGCCATAGCGTTTTTACACACTAGCACAACAGCAAAAGCCGCAGGGAATATACATTCCAGCTAATTGGCACTTTTTTGCTATTTGCTCCTTTGCTATTTTGTAAATGAGCCGTTTGAAGGAAACACGAGTTGCGGTCATCATCTTAATGAGCGCGGTCTTTATACACGGATCTTTGACGAGACATAGAGTGCTGCACCATCATGGAAGTTTATTGGATGGCGAGAGGAGGGTTGGTTGATATTTGTTGCCAAATGTTCGCTCGCTTCTCATTGGGAACCCCTCGGTAACCCTCGTGTTCCATGATGTGACTGCAAGTCCAGCTGCTGCTCAATAATTAGTCCTTAGCATGTCTCTCGGCATCGTGCTCGTTCCTCTGAAGATATATACATACAGCTTAAACGAACGATAACAGTGCTCATGGAGTCCATGACACGGACGGCAACTTTTGAGTTACCCTCCTCTTCGTGCCATTGCTGGAGAACGGCGATAGTCACCAGGACGAAGGGCGTTCTAATATTGTCGTCCAAGTCTCGGAAGGAATGATATGCACAAGTGGACATAGGCTGACGACTTCCACTATCGCTCGCCGTCACACAAGTGGGACAACCGGACAGTTTCGTTTGTCATGCTCATTCCTGTGCCTGCGTTGGGCTCATCGACAATCCGTATGAGTCATCGGGGTAGATTCTTCCTCTGTAAGCAAATACGCGATATGCCACAGAAGTGTAACTTCGTGTAATGCACTGCGTCATCTTCTTCATCACTTTGGCCTCCTTAGTCATCCGTCAAGCCGT